CACACACACACAGAGCCATTTGAAGCTTTCAGAGGGAACCAAGGAGTCTGTATTGGGTTAAGTCCCTTTTTCCTCTCAAAGTTCTAGCAAGAAGCTGAAGGGCATGAGGAGAGTGAAATGGGTCCCTCTGCTGTCCCTTGTGGGCCTGCATGATTCTTTCTTCTGTGGAGATCTGTGGGTGCCTCACTGGCTCCTAACTCTCCTATTATGTGTTTCTGAGTCCCTGAATTTCCATCATCCCACCCTGACAGAGGGCAGGCTGTTGGACTCTGAGATTAGGCCCACAGTAGGCCCATCTACCAGCTCCCCGTTCCTCATCTTGCAAGCCCTAGGGCATTTAGAGACAATGTCCCCAAGGCAGAAGCTTCCGACTTTGGCTCTGGGGATGGCTGAAACCAGGGCCATCTGCTGCTGGGGAAGGGACAGCTCTAGAGGCTATGCTAGATGGTGATAGGAAAAAAGGCACAAGCCTGACACAGGGCATGCTTTATTCAGTTTGAGTCCAATGCCTTGGCTTGGCAGGCCCCCCATCCAGCCACACTGTTCCTCAGACAGGACAGCTCAGCCTGTCCTGGAACAACCTTTATAACCAATTAGAACTCTGAGGATCCAACTTGAGATTGTGTCGTACTGTAGCCCAAGATGGCTTCAAACTTCTGCCTTAGTTTCCCAAGTGCTAACATAACAGTCATGGAGAACTGCCCACACATGTTCAAGCCTTCACCAGAACGCTAATGGCACTGATTGACAAGTAGCCAGCCTGTTGAGGTTTAGCACAGGGATACCCTGGGGACTTAGGCACTGAGAGACAAGCCCTAGCTTATTTTGCCTACAGAGAAGAAAGTACTAGCCTAGTGGCCACGGGGCTGGCTCTCAGCCTCTACTTTGTAAGCACAGAGAAACAGGATAAGCGTATAGGGTCAGGACAGGACCCACTGACCCCGTCCCCTTCCTAGCCCCCTGGGAGCTTCCTTCATCCTCCCAAACATTCAGTGTCAGCTGTTAACTCAGTCAAACCCCATCCCTGGGAATCCCTCTAGTGAGACCTGCCCTTGTTGCTCAGCTCTTGTTTCTGGCTTTTTGCCAAGGGGGAAGGCTGAGTGGGTTGGAGCCCTGGCATCCCCCACAGCGAGCGCCATCTGGACAACCTAGCCCAGACTGTACAATCCTTTTGACATTCCTAAGGCTGGAGGATGACCTTATGATCCTCTCAGGTACGGGGAGATGCGTGTAAATTTTGGCTGTGCTCTGACCAAGCCTGGGGTCCAGGGGCAGAGTGGGTGCTAACTTCTCCCCAGCTCCTTATGCTGTGGTGCCCTCGTCTCTGCCCTTTACTGCCATCATGTGGCCACTCTCAATACTGCAGGCCAGAGGTCAGGACTCAGCCCAGGTTCTCCATCTGTCTCCACCCCCACCCCATCTGCCCTACCCTTGCCTGCCCATTCTCCATATGTGATATAAAGATACAAAGCTAAATGCCAGGCACCAGAGGCTCATGCCTGTAATCCAAGCTACTCAGGAGGATGAGATCTGAGGACTGAGGTTCAAAACCAGTTAGGGTAAGAAAATCTGTCAAACTCTTATCTCCAACAAACTACTTAGAAAAAGATAGAAGTGATGCTGTGGTTCAAGTGGTAGAGCTCTAGCCTTGAGCACAAAAAAAGAAACACAGAGTCTACACCTAGGCCCAGAGTTCAAGCCACAGAACTGGCAAATAGAAACAAAAACACAAGTCTAATCCTATCCTACCCAGTCTAGGTCCTGAACAACATTATCAGCTATCTCTCTCCACAAAGCATATGATCCTTGTCCTCCAACTGGTTCCTCCTGTATTTTGGTAGCATTTTCTCCACTTCTGTCACCAGAAGGTCAGGAAAAGAGCAACTCAGGGACAGCAGTGGTATGTAGCCTCACTCTGTGCCTACCTTCTGTAAATTCCAGGTTAAGGAACATGGGCCCCTGTAATCCTAGCTACTCAGGAAGCTGAGATCTGAGGATCACCGTTCAAAGCCAGCCCAGCAGTAAAGTCTGTGAGACTCTTATCTCCAATAAACCACCAGAAAACCAGAAGTGGCCCTGTGGCCCAAGTAGTAGAGCGCTCACCTTCAACTGAAGAGCTTAGGGACAGCACCCCAGGCCCAGAGTTCAAGCCCCATGACTGACTGACAGACAGACAGAAAGACAGACACACACACACACACACACACAAAGGAACATGGGCCTTGGGCATTCAAGAATTTGTACTTGACCCTATCAATGACTATGCCCAGCAATTGAAAGCGGATTACAAGGCAATGGCAGGATTTTGAGGCTTTGTGCAGTGCAGGCAACTCTTCTCAGGCAACACTAGGGTAGGGTGAGAAAGTGGGCACCTGGGCTGGGGGAAAGTGGACTGGAAGGGAGAGTTCCAGCTACACGGAGTGGATAGAGTAGGCAAGACTCAAAGCTGGGTGCTGGTGGCTCACACCTGTAATTCTACTTACTCAGGAGGCTAAGATCTGAGAATTGCAGTTCAAAGCCATCCCTGGCAGGAAAATCTGTAGACTCTTATCTCTAATTAACTACCAGAAAACTGGAAGTGGAACTATGACTCAAGTGGTAGAGCACTAGCCTTAAGCAAAAAAAAAAAAACCCAAGGACAGTGCTCAGTCCTCTAGGACCAGTGTACCTATGTACTTGTGCACACACGTACCCCTCCTCCCTGCCCCCCACACACAGTAGGTTCTGTTGGTAGGTGACTTTACAAATCAGTCATGAACTCTAGAAATGTGAGCAGCAGGACACCACAGAAGGAACAGGGAGCTTGTTTTTTCCTTGTACAGGCAGGAAAGGGTATACCAAGACAATTCTATAAGCTTGCAATACACAGGGTCATCTTCCCTGCTGGGGTTCTTGCTTTCCGCTCAGAGATCTAAAGTCTCTCTCCACCCTGGAGCAGAACCCACCCTGGGTCATAGGCTAGGTCCAGGGTTTAGGAACCAAGGCAGCTTGGCATAGAGGCCCCATAGGAGGGTAAGCAACAAGTCCCAGTCCATCAAGGACAAGGGTAATGGGCATCGCCCTGTGTGAGGGTTGGGGAAGGAATTGGAGTTGCAGTCTGTGATGCAGGAGATTAGGGTTGGGACACAGGCATTACAATTTCAGGTATGAAGTCTCCAGACTGAAGAATCAGAGGCAGGGTATTTCAAAGGTTACGAACGAACACCTGCATGGTGCCTTGAGTCTGAGATGACAGCTAAGGCATGAGGTCTTGAGTCCACAGGTGTTACAGGCCCAGGTATCAGGTGTCCAGTCCTAGGGATGCGAGACTCATAGAATTGGGATACATGCCATTTGGAGTCCAGGATCTTCTCTTGGGAGGCTGGGTCTCCACCATAACAAGACATCTGGCCACATGTGTTTCTGCCTCAGGGTTGGGAACTCCACATATTCCTGTAACAGACATGTAGTTTTAGGCTGGGCATGGCTCTCATAGGGTTTCCCCAGGGTCCCAAGACAGCTCTCCAAGGGGCAGAAGTGGGGTCTGGGAGCGGGCCTCAGAATGGGGTCTCACATATGGCCCTTCTTGCGGCGTAGCAGCACATAGATGACAGCAATCAGCAGCGCCACAGCCAGGCCTCCAAAGATGATGCTCAGAAGCACAGTGTAATTCCTTCCTGGGGAGAGGATGAGAATGAGGGTGGCCTAGGGCATATGGGTAAAGCAGGAATGAGAATATGCATGGTAGGGAGAGACATTCTCACCTATGTGGCACTCCGGGCTGGCTGCAGACCAGGCACCATTAGCCTGGCAGGTGCTGGTCTCTGCCCCAGCCAGGCTGTAACCACTGTTGCAACCAAAGCGGATGGTGGAACCCATCAGGTACCTGCTGCCCTCCTTGTACCCATTAGATGGGGGAGCCAGCCAGCCACAGGACACCACTGGAATAGAGGCAGAGCACAGAGGGTGTGTCGGTGCTATATCCCAATGTAGAATTGTCTGCACCCCTGCTCAAGCCACGCCTCCCCCCAGCCCTCACCAGGCTGTAGGTTCTTCAGGCGATCCTGGTGTTGCTGGTAGGAGACTCGCGTGGCATTACCCACACTCAGACTCCCAGTCACCGCCACATCAAAGATGCAGAAAGGGTTGTTGGCACAGAGCTTAGTGGCCTCTTCCGCCTGGGTGGGATCAAGGGTGGCCTCATCGGGGAAAAGGGGCTTGAAGTTGGGGTCATGCTTGGGTTGATTCATGAAGTTGTATACCAACATCCAGGAGTCATAGGTGAAGAGAGAGGAGGTGTTGTGCACGGCCCCTGAGGAGAGAGTCCTGGGTGGGCACAGCTCTGCACCAAGGGTCCAGGGTCTGCCCTTGGTACAGAGACACTGCGCCATCCTCCCCGCTTTCTGCTCTCTCCACTCATCCCAGACTATTCCCCAGGGTCACTCACAGTCAGCCCCAAACTGGAACAACTGCTGAGCACTGGCGTTCCAGGGCAACACTTGCCCATTGCGTAGGGTGAAGTCATCGGTGGGGTTATTGTTGAGTGTCCCAAGGAGGCCATGGGTGTGGGTCAGGAACTTCTCAGGCAGCAGGACAGCCACGCTCAGGAAAGAGCCTTGCAGGCTGACCTCCACTCCAGCCCCCGATGACAACATGATTGAAACCTTGTTCTCAGAAGCCACAGAGAGGAACATACCTGGCCACAGGTGGAGATATGTCAGAGATACTCCCTTGGGCCCTTGCTCTGCCTGCAGGATGGGTTGGAAGGACCACGCATCCCCAGGAACAACCTACTTGCTATGATGTTGTCTACCTAGACATGATGTTTCTACATCTGTATGCCAGGACCTTCAGAAAACCCCTATGCTGAAGCCATAATGTGTGTGAGAAGTATTCCCCAATGGGGGTTTGGTCTCCACCTCTGAGCCCACAACCTTGGCTTTCTTTTTTTTTTTTCTTTTGGTCCGGTCGTGGGGCCTGAACTCTGGGCCTGGGTGCTGTCCTTCAGTTCTTCAGCTCAAGGCTAGCACTCTACCACTTGAGCCACAGCGCCACTTCTGGCTTTTTTCCTTTTGCTTATGTGGGGCTGAGGAATCGAACCCAGGGCCTCAGGCATGCAAGGCAAGCGCTCTACCACTGAGCCACCTTCCCAGCCCCAGCCTTGGCTTTCTTGCAGAAGCTTTTGTAGGGGGATCTAGTGACTACTAGATAGCCGGGGGAACCCTGTTGGCTAGCACTCTGTCATCCATCATGATAATCCCTGGACTCCTCTAGGTTGTAAGGAGGCCCTTACCCATAATATTGGCCTTTCGGGGCTCTGAGTAGGCCTGTTGGTTGGCGATATTCATATCCCTCTAGGTTTGACATGAGAGCAGGCTCCCTCACACTGGGCCCACAGGCTGGAGCACAGACCTACCTGGGCTTTTAAGTCCTGTGAAGCATCCATAGCCCCAAGACAGGTTGCACCCCCAGCAGGTAGCAAGGGCAAGGTGAAGGTGGCTCTGTGACCACTCTCAGCTCGTTGGAAGCCTGCTAACCATGCCTGCTCGTGCTACTTACCCTTCAAGTCCATCCAACTCTGCTCAGTGAAGCTGAGCACCTCCTGATTCAGCAGCACCTCCAGAATGACTGGTGTGCCCACCAGCCGCACCTCCACCACGTCAGAATTGCCCTCCTGCACCGCCACGGCTGTCAGCCTGGTGCCTCGGGTCTCTGTGCCTGCAGTGGTGGACACAGAGTAAGTAAGGTCCTTTTGGTTCCTGCCTCCTGTCCTGGAGGACCCAGAACTACCCAGAAACCCGTGAGGGCACCCAGCCTCACCGTGGTCTGTTCTCTCAGGCTGAGCCCGCACCTGCACCCTTAGGTCGGTCAGTGCACCCTCCAGCAGCACATACTCGCCACGCCCATTGAATGTGAAATTGGTGCCATCAAAGGTGACAAAGTGAGGATCTCCAAATGCAGAGGCTGAGGTGAGAGTGGATGGTCAGGTATCCACCCCCCCCAGCTCTGCCCCTCCCCTTCCCTCCCCTCAGGCATCCCGGCTGGCACCTACCCAGGTGTGGAGGTTGGTAGCTTCGACAGTCACTGGAGGGTCGCCGGCGCATATAGCGGTGGCACTCAGGCGCCCAGAGGCAGCAGTAATAGAAACTGATGACATCGTACATCCAGTGGGACATGCCTGGAACCCGGGGTGGTGTACGGTAGGGGGGTGCACCCCAGTCATGCCCACGATCAGGGGTACTGCCGCCTGTTGAGTCTGCAGTGAGGAGTTGTGTACCAGCCTTTGTGTAACAGCACTGCTGGCCTGAGCCATACTTGGGGCTGGAGGCAAGAATGAGTCAGGGTCACCATTGGCAGCCTGGCCCCTATCCCCAACCCCATTCTGTCCCTCATCCTTGGGTCTGCTGGCTTACCTGGCCTGCACAGAGCGCACACAGTGAACGGCCCCAGGGTGGTAGGTGCAAACGCTGCCATGTTCAATATCGCAGCCGTAGTCTGTCTGCAGAGTGGCCGGTGGCTGTAACCTGGGTTGTACACACACCACCCGCTACATCCCTGGGAGCCCTCCCAATCTAGCCCCTCCTTTTTGAGGATTTGTCTGCTTCATGAGGGTGGCTTACTCCTTCTGCTCCCTCGCCCTCTTTCAGACACTAATGGATGGATGTTCAGGCTTACAAAGAAGCGGCCGGTGTCAGCCCGGGCCTGGGCTAGGGTGCAAGGACAGTCAGGCAGTTCCTTCAAGAAATCCGGCAGCTGGTCTTCCAAATTCTCCCAGGCCAGACACTGTGTACGGGCCCAGGCTACAGAATCTGCCCGGAAGTCATCACCCAAGTGCCAGGCCAGTGCGTGATCGTTGGTCCAGAGCGCCTGTACATCGCTGCAGCAGTGATGAAGCATGAGCTGAAGGGCCAGCCACACCCCCCCTGGCCTTGGGCTGCCCCAGTGAGCATGGCAATCCCCAGGCAGATGCCCCCAGCCCATGCACTACGCCGTGCCCTTACTTCTGCCCTGCATAATTTTTGCTGCTGATGATCCTTAGTGCACCCACTTTCCACTTCTGGTACTCAAGCGGTGCAGGTTTTGGGGTGAAGGTGAAGAAGCCAGAGTTGGAGATATTTGTAGCCACGGGGTAGAGGTAAGACCATTTTGCCGTCCAGTTCGCTGAGTATGGCCTACCTGAGGGAGAGAAGGCCTTAGTCAACACTTTGGCCTCTCTAAGGACCTTAGGAGCAGGAGCAGGGCTAGTCCGGCCCCAATCTCCCACTGAGAGCTTGACAGATTGATAGAAGGGCAGAAGGTCACACCAAATCAACCCCATGGGAGGGTCTGCCTTGCTACTGCTCCATCAGGGACTCTGCCTTGAGTTACTATCACCTCATCCCATTCATCAGAGTATCACTGGGTATGCCAGGCTAAGTAAAGGATGGGGAAAGAGTCAGCTTCTTCTGTCTCTAGGACATGCCTATCTGAGGATCAATGTATCCAAACCTCCCATCAGACCCGGTACCCTAACCAGCCAGACTTGCCTACCATGCCATCTCCCTCACATTGTCTGATAGAAATGACTGGCATTCCTCCTCAGCTTCAAATTCTTTGTTCCCACCCCCGCTCCTCAATCTCTGCGTGGAGGTCTCTGACTTTCTCCTGTCTACACAGGACACCTACCTAGGACTGATTTCCTCTCATTTCTGGGAACTGAAAGGCTCTGTTATCTCCACCAACTCAAAGCCAGCCTTACCTGTTTCCTCATAGCCCCACAGCTCAATGGTAACAGCAGGCGTGAGCAGCATTGAAGCATTCCAAGTCAGGCTGAGGTTACCAGCAGTGCCCGAGGTGCCATAGTATTGCCAGTGAGTCTCATTCACCAGTTGACTCTTCTCAGTTTCAGACACTTTGTAGGGGTGAACTGGGCAGGGGCCAGTAAAAGGTGAGTTGAAGGCCTGGGACCAAGTAGTCCAGGGGCCCACCTCTCTAAGAGTCTCTCTCTGGGATGGGCCTCCTGTTTGATACCTGAAGGTAGAAGGAACCCCCACCCAAAGGACTGGTTCAGCCAGAGTGACAGGTAGGTTAGGTGGACCAGCTCTCAGTGTGCATAGATTAGGGCTAGGGAAAGTCCCTATGAGGGAACCAAGTCCCACGAAGGGAGGCATCTAGACTGGCCTGGCAGTTGAGGGTTGAGGGCTCACCAGCTAGCCAAGTGCCTGAGTGAGTAAAGGTGCGGCCATTGTCCATGGAGATGGTGAAGGGAATGCGACCACTTTCATAGAGCAAGGGTGACACGCAGTGCACCTGCTTCAAGGCATCCACATAGCCAAGAGTCTGGATGCTTTCCTTAAACCTGGGTATAGAGAAGGTTGATGTTGTAGAAGCAGTTGGGCCAAGTGAGTCAATCCTCTCAAAACTTAAGAACTGTACCCCTCACTCCCGCCCCATGAACAGGTATAATCAGCTGTCTTTGTGTCCTCCTGCTTATTCTTGGTCCCAGAGCTCCACTTGGCCAGTTGTGTGAAGAGCTTTAGTTATGGAATGGGGATTATAGGGGTCCTAATTGCCTGGCCCTTCTTACCTGCAGATCACACCATCTGTGGAACCGAACCACTTGAAATGTGCCACAAAGTCCTTGCCACCCATCATGGAGCCCGAAGAGGGTGAGATCTCTAGACAGAAGTCACGGAAGTCTGAGCAGCAGGTGCCAAGGCCGGAGCAGGTTGGGTGGCAGGAGCAGGGCCCATTCTGGTCCCCACAGCGCAATGAACAGCTCTCCTGGGCACCTAGAAAAGAGATCCTTGAATACCTGCTCTGGGTGTATCCAAGAGCAGCCACCCAGGGTGCAAGGCGTGGAGAGTTTGTTAAAGGGAAGCATTCCAAACTGGGTGTCAGTGGCTCACACCTGTAATCCTAGCTATTTTGGAGGCTGAGACCTGAGGGACACAGTTCAAAGCCAGCCCAGGGAATTATCTCCATATAACCACCAGAAAACAGGAAGTGGTGATGTGGCTCAAGTGGTAGAGTGCTAGCCTTGAGCTAAAGAACTCAGGGACAACGCCTAAGCCCAGAGTTCAAGCTCCACTACAGACAGAAAAAAAAAAATAAGGAAGCTTTCCTAGAAGACTGCAGGCCAGGATAGTGTAGTTACTAAGAAGATAATGATAGTCACTGGTTCCAGATCATCAGCAAAGATTTAATGGTAGGATATACTGGCTAGAATGCAGTGAGATAAGAGAAAATACCAGAGACATTTAACCTTGGAGTATTGAGTAGCTCCAGGGCCAAACTGTCCTTCAACCAAGTATATAATCACAAGCCAGGGCTCCTCAGAGGGTCACAGTTTTCTGCACCCTTGTCATAGGTCTGGACATCTCTCTTGACTCCCAAGGTATCTATGGATAGGGTGCTATCCTGGGGCTCACAGACTAGACTAGGGCTTTTCTTGCATGCCTAGGCAAGGGTCTGTGCACATGGTGACTTGAGTCCCATTCAAAGTCAGGAGGGAAATGATGCCCCAGGATCACTCCCAGGAGGCAGAAACGGGAGTCTTGCCCTCTGAGAAGGCCAGAGATGTTCCATTTTTTTTAAGGGATAGGAGATTCATTTCCGCCAGGGAGCCTGATACTGAATAGACAGACATTAGGAGCTCATCACCTGGAACTGTGGATATCAGGCCCAAGCCTTCTCTTGTAGTATGTGAGGACCTGTAGCAGGGGCATATTTTTTTTTTTGGTGCCAGTCCTAGGGCTTGAATTCAGGACACTGTCCCTTAGCTTTTTCCACTTTCAGCTTTTTGGTGGTTAATTGGAGTCCAAAAGACATTTCTGCCCATGCTGGCTTTCAACTTCAGTCTTCACATCTCAGCCTCCTAAGTAGCTAGGATTATAGGTATGAGCCTATAATTGGCTAAAGGGTCTTATTTGCAGATCTGTCCCTTTTGAACTAGAGGGTGGAGACTGGGGTGGGGGGCAAGCAGGCAAAATGGGATCATACATTCCACCTGTCCCTTCTCCATCTAAATAAAGGTGGTCAGTCAAGAGCTAGGCCTGGATTTGAGCCACCTTACTTCACTAAGTGCCCAGCATTTAAGAGCAGCAATAAATATTTACTGGCCAATGATGTGATGGCTTTAAGGATGTGATATGGTATGAGAAAGAGGCTCTGAGATGCCAGTAAATGAGTTTAAAAGTGGACAGGAGGGTAGTGATATTTCCCTGAAAGATAGAAGATGGGTGAAGGGCAATGGTTAGCATGAACCAGCTCAGCCTGAGGCTAGGGTTGCAACTCTGAACTTCAGACCTTCTGCTAGACTTTATTGGATTTATTTGCACCCTGATGAATACCAACGGTCTTACCCATTGGTTAGGGGCTTCCTGAATGTAATCATGCCTTTGACTGGAGCTCTGCTGTCCCCTCCCAAACAGTTATGAGACCATAACTATCAGTTCCCAGCAGATATAAGGTAGACTAGGCCAAGACACCCCCATCCTCACTGGAGATCCCTGGACCCTGGAGGCTCAGAATTTCTTCTCCCAGCCCCCAGCAGAATCACAGATGGCCAAACAGATGGACAGTGGCTGAGCCCAGTGGGATATCTACCCTAAGCCTAGCTCATCAGACAAATGGACAGATAAGAGGGACAGAAAAGCAGCGTGAGAACATACCTGCTGTGGGCCTAGGCCCTGGGCCGGAGACTATCACCAGCAGCAGCAGGATCCAGGGAAGGGGAGCCATCTTCATAGTGCAGCCTGTCTGTAAGCCAGTGTTGTGTTCTGAGGCGGCGGCTGGGAAGCACTCACTCTCTGCCAGACTGGCCCCGCCCTTCGCTCTCCGAGGCACCGCCCCACCCTGCCCCTCCCCACTCTGTCCTCTCTCAAAGTCCACAGGTGCCTGAGTAGACCAGCTGAGCTCGACCTGCTCCGTTAGCACATTCTTGTCCTGCTTGCAAGGGACAAAGGGGAGGGGGCCAAACGTTGGCCTTGGGATGCCTGGGAGAGCAAGGGGGCTGGAGCCTCCAGCTTCAGGACCTTTGACACGTGATGAGCTGGATACCCAGAGGCTATTGCTCCTGACTTTGGGTCTCAGCCCAGACCAGCTTGCTGAAGCCTACAAGGGCGGGCTCTTGCAGGGATGCGATGCTCCAGGGTGGGTGAGGCCATCATCCAAGAATCTGGTAAGATTCTAGCCCCAGTACCCTCAGGGACAGACCTCGCGTCCTCTGCCCTAGCTTCTAGAAGGGAGGAGGTGTTGCTAATCCTTTCTCTAACCTAGAAGGTGAAGTAAACTTATTCTTGGCAGGGTTGATATGTGTGTGTGTGTGTGTGTGTGTGTGTGTGTGTGTGTGGGTGGTAGAGGTGATCTCAGAGAATAGGAACAGCCAAGTTAGACCCAGGCTAAGCCCAGGGACAGGGGCAATACCAAAGGGATTCCTATACAGGGGGTCCCTTCACAAGATTCCAGAGGTCCTCACCCAGGGCAGGGGATCCCAGAAACAAGCTTCCCCTCCCCTACCCCTCCACACCACCCATGGGATATCAGAGAGTTTACATGATATCTCTAGGGGTTTTCTCCCTAATCCTCCTGCAGATTAGGAAATTTAAAGCCTATAGAGGCTTACTGAGGCTCCTTCCTGGGAGTTCCCTGAAGCCAAGGTGGACTGTGGACCCCAGCTTGGAACTCTTCCTCAGAGCCCATGGCCTGAGGACAGGTAAGTGGTCCCTTTCTAGTTGTAGTTTTCCATGGTGTCCCAAAGAGACACATGTACCGGGAACTGATGCTAGGGGCGGGGTGGGGGAGATGAGCCACCTCAGATCTTGGGGCCCATCCAGCCCATTGTTCTCTGGCCCTGCCCCCACCTCTCTTGCCTAGGTGTGCCTGCCAGAAACCAGCTAGGATTGGCAGCCACCTGCAGTATTCCTGTCCCTGTGGGTCCAGCTCTGAAAGGCTGGCTCCCACTACATTTCAAAGCCTTTGGTAGTTAGAACCAAAGCCCCCTGCTCCACAGACACATTTGATAAAAAGTCTCTAAGAGCTGCATCTTCCAGAGGGAAGGAAGTCCCTTAACCCACAGTGCCCCTGGGGTAGTCAGGGCACCTTGGATGGGTGAGTGACAGGATTATGGTTACTGAGATCCTGTGCCAGCGTTGCTTCTGGGACTCATTTCTACCACAGGGATGAGGGGTGAGGGATTGGCTGAGTCACTGCTGACTATGATTTTTGGTCCAGATAGCAGGAGGCACCCTGGGCCACCACATCTTTGGTTCTAAATGGCCTGGGCTGGAATCCAGGGTAGTGCTCAGCCTGAGGGAAAGAGGGCGGCAAGTTGTACCCCATCTCCATATTAGACAGTCTCCACTCTGACTCAGAGGGGCCCTAAGGTTCTGGGGTTACACTACAAAACCTAGGCATCCTCAATACAGAGTAATTCTGAGCCTTGGAGAAGAGAGCTAGTCTTAAAATTCTGAACTTTTAGCCAGGCATGGTAATTCACTGTAAACCCAGCTACTCCAGATACTGGGGCTGTAGGGGTTCAAGGCCAGCCTGGGATACATAGCAAGACTTCAAATAGCCAAACCATACAACTTAATATTTTGAACAAGGTGCCCCATGTCTGCAGTGCTGGGCCTGGAATTTACGTGACTGGTCCTGTTGGAATGGGGGTGGAGTGTGTGTTCCTTCCAGCAGTGGCATAATGTCAGTTCCTCAGTACAGCCTTGCCTGTGGCCTCCCTCCTACCTGCACTCCAGAGAGCTCTGCAATACCCCAGAAGTCCTTGAAGACACAGTTCTAGCCATCACAGCTCTAGAGGGTTCTGTCCAACTCCCCACACTTCCCAGCCTGCTGGAGTCTGAGGTGACCAGGGCTGGGTCTGCCCTGGGAGAGGAGCGGTCCAGAAACTCTGTGGATAGCAATGTTCTGAAAGAGACCCCAGGTACCTCCTGGGGATAAACAAAGAAGCAAAGACTACTGTCCCATCTTTATTAGAAAAGAAAAAACAACAACAACACAAAAGGGGTGGCATGAGCTGGCCTTAGGTGGTCCTCCACTGAGGTGGTCCTCCAGGCAGAGCTCAGCTTATTCTGGCACCAAACTGTGGACACGGTATGGGCTGGGCTGGAATGGGCACATTTACAAAGTCAACATTTCATAAAAAGGATGTCAGCCCTGCTGTACAGATCACAACCAGCCCATCCTCACATGGCTAAGATGGGCCTCTTCCTCTTCTTCCTCTGGACTCCCACACTGTGAAGTGGGGACTGGGCAGGCCTGGGAGCTGAATTGGAAATGATACCCGATGTGAGCCTCTGGTCTTGCCTCTAGGCTCTGGGCTGATAAGAGTATTCCAGGCCTGGTTGGTCCCTCTGGGTGTGGTGGTAGGCTCCCTCAGATGTCCATGTAGTCATCATCATCATCATCTGTCTCGCTCTCGAGGGAGGATTCCTGACTGGATGTTTCTAGGACCTCCAAAGCAGGCTGACATAGGCTCTCCTTCCTCACATTGGCAGCAGACTGGGCAGACAGGATTGCTGACTGCAGACAGGGAGAGCAATAGTTAGGGGCTCCTGGTCCTGCTCCAGGCTTTTTTTGGGTCAGTAATAGGGCTTGAACTCAGGGCCTGGGCACTGTTCCTAAGCTTTTTCCGCTCAAATCTAGTGCTCTACCGCTTTGAGCCACGGCACCACATCTGGTTTTCTAGTGGTTAATTGGAGGTAAGAGTCTCATAAACTGTCCTGCCCTGGGTTGGCTTGGAACTGTGATCCTCAGATCTCAGACACTTGAGTTGCTAGGTAACAGGCATGAGCCACAGAACCTGGCTGCTTCTTGATTTTTTTTAACCCAACCTCCCAACCAGTCTCCCTAGTAACCTAAGCCCCCCAGTAATCCAAACCCTTCCTCCAGGTGCCCCCCAAACCAGAGCCCCCTGTCCAGGATCCTTGTGCAGTACCCATAGTCACCTTTAGCTTCTGCTTGGTCTCCTCCGAGATGCTGCCTTTAGGGGAGAGCAGGGTCGGAGTGGGTGGTGTGACAGTGATCTCAGGAGGGAATTTGGTAGAAGCCGAGGGGATCACCAGTTTTGGCATGTTGGGCAGGAGGCGGGATTTGGCCCGGCTGGGCTCGGCCTTGCCTAGGTGGCCCTCAGGTGGCTGGGCAGTCCCACTGCTGAAGACCTTGGAGCTGGCAGCTGTGGGGAAGACTTTGGAGTCTGAATTTTGTGCCTATTGCTCCCCTGCTTTGGACCCAGGTTTCCCTTTGAGGGATAGAGCCGCTAAACTGGACAGAGGAATACTTCCTTGTAGATGTCTTTTCTCCTTTTCTCTGCTGGCTGGACCCAGCCTGGACGTTCATCTCCTTCATGTTCCCCCTCCCCACTATGTTGATTTACTTGCACTGTCAGGCCTCCATCCTGGGCAACTGCTCAGCTCAGGCCTACAAAGACTCAGCTCTCGTCCTGGACTTTAGGGTCCTGGGGCTTTTTCCCCAACTCAAGGGCACTGTGGACTCTGAGAGCCAGGTTAGGCACACAAGTAGCTTCCCCAAGCCCTCTTGGGGATTCTGTGGGGTTCCCCAGGCATCGGGCTTCTACAAACTACTATATTCCTCAAACTGTTTCAGAAAGTCCATACTCTAGGGAGGACCCTGAGGCCTACAGCTTGTCACTGAGCCATATATTCTGTGTCTATTTTTCTCTCACACTCCAGAGCAAGTGAGGGGCTGTATTTGCTGGGAGCCTAAGGGCAGCTGGGATGGCTACAGGCTGAAGCTCTGGGACCTGGCAGCCTCCAGGGAGCTGCATAAGCCGGGAGCAACCCGGATGTCCTGGCAAGGCTTCACATTCCTCTGCAGCCTTATGGCTTTAAAAGGAGTAGAGCTTACTCAGAATCCAAGCCTAGTCTCTGAGAGCTGGCGCCAGGTCTTGCCGTCCTGAGTGGTCTGTGCACAGCCTAGCCAGTAGGAGCTCCCAAGGGGCTTGGCTATGGTGGCTGGTGGGAATAGGCTAGAGTCTGGGGCTGGGCTCCATCTCAGCTGCCTCTGAGGATGCCTCAGTGATTGGGAACAGCTATTTCCTGTTTCATCTGGGCTCTGCAATGGGGTGATGGCCATGAGAAAGATGCCTACCCCTTCTAGAATCTCTCTGTGAATCTAGGGGTTGAATCAGAGGTTCTGGGACATGGATAATGGTTCACATGGCTCCAGTCTAAACTCTCTTGTATGCCCTGCACAACCCTATTTTTCTTCTCCATCTCAACTCCACTGGGCCTCCCCTGGTCCCACCCTCCTTGGCAGTACTTCCCTAGAGACGCCCACTCAGGCTGCCAACTATGAGAACCAGGGCTGGGCTGCTCCTGATGGCCTTACTTTGGCTGCAGATGGGCTCGGTGCTTGTCTGGTGGGCAGGCTTCACCAGCCACGAGTGTGGATCTGCAGGGGGACCAGTGGGGGTCATCTTCGCCTGTTGACCACGCCGTGACTCCAAGGGTGGGCAGCTGGGGCCCTCTGCCACCCCTGCCAGCTCCTCTCCTTCTGTGGAGACAAAGGCCAGCTGCAGGTGACATACTCATCCTATTGGGGCAGGGCACCCTCATGGCCACCTATGTATCTGTGCCAGGCCCCAGGACCCAGGCTATGCTCTAGGCTACCTGGCAGGATGGATCTGGGCTTAGGTGGCTTTCTATCTGCACAAAGTGGCCTGGGGACTAGTAGGTGCTCTCCTGGGACAACTGTGTTGAGGAGCTGGGCTGATATTTTCAGAAGGGGAATCTCCC